AGACTTCTAATGGTTTTACAAATTTATTCTACATGAATCAAAAAGTAGATATTCGAATGCTATTTTGGTATTTCCGAGATGTGTTCAGAAACGCTTTCACCGATTCCATTTCTCAGAAGTTCATAGGTTTCAGGATGCTCACATATCCCAAAACTTAATATGAGTCCGGAAATATTTTGGACACGTTCATGAGTTTTCGAAAAGGTTTTCAGAGACATTTTTTTTTTTTTTTGTAGAAACTTTGTTTTTTAAGAGTTTAAGCTTGAACGATGAGAATCCTCTTCCTCATGAAACAAGTTTAAGCCGATTTTCTTTATTCAAAGCCTAGCTCAAACAAAAGCTTGATAGCAAAAAAGCTCTATATTCAGTGTAACTAGAATCGTATCATAAATCAACAAAGCAATGTTTTTCTTTTAATAATTACAGACACATCATACTGGCAAGAATTAATGAACATGTTTTTCAATTTTTGAGTATCATTCATATTAATTGAATGTGGACACAGTCAAGGAAAACAAATGAATTAAGGGAAAATATGGACATCATTATAAAGACTCGTGAAATTGTACATTAGAAAACTTTTATTGATTAGATAACTCAGAATTTATTAGATTAGTCTGGAAAAACCCGTCAAAAGTTAACACAAAATATTTAATTAAAATAAAATTTTTCAAAAATTTCCCATATGTATTGTCATTGATATTTTAGTTTAGAAGTTGCTTTTGATTCTTATTCATGCAATGAGTTGTGTTACAATATAAGAAATGTCGATGTATCTTAACCGAGTGAAATAGAACTGTCTCATTGCTTTACTTTTGCAGCAGGAAGGTTTGAATTATCTCATATTATTTCTTCGATTCCATACTAAACATATATCATTAAGAAAAAAAAAATGAAACTACTTAGCTGGCGTAACAAGCCAAATGTTTAACTTAATTCGTCTATATACTAATCGTAGTATCGTCTTCTCATAAGAAGTTATATATGGATATTGCATCAATCAGTATATAGGTGTGATTAAGTAAAGAAGAACATTATGATAAAAATACAATCAATAAGATAGAGTTCAATATTGAAAACCTTTAGTCTCTGATTGCAGCCGTATTTTCATCCTAAATCCACTCGCCATCACGCAATTTGGTTTGCCCCTACCATGATTCCTATATTTTCTTTTCAATCTGGACGATTTTTTAAACGGTACCCAAAGTTAAAGAAAAGTTGAAATTAGAATCACAAAATATTATAATTAATAAAAAAATTTGATTTAAATCGTCAGTTTACTTTAATTTGTTTCGCGGAATCGACGTATATACAGAATAAATACCGTATCAATCTGTTTGTTAATGAATTCTATTAGAATTGAAAAGCAATTGATGTAGTATTAATATTGATTTATTTCTTTATCCAATTATTATTTGATAATGTTTCAGAAAGATGTCTATTTCTCTAATCTGATTTTACTTTTATATTTAATTCAAGTGTATATTTTTCTATTTACATATCTGTTTATTATTCATTTTTCTAACAGAAGAACTGAATGGCAAGATAATAATACTGAACGTTTAGATTTATGTGTTTTCAACTGTTGTTCTACCACTACCGTCTTTCTTCTAAGGCCATCTATTTTCTTATTAGAAAGTGTCTATGCATATTGGATGATCAGCTTGATTGGTTTTATGGCTTTGTGCATACGTGGCAAACATATTGCATTGATGTCATCATATTGACTAACGAAATGGTTTATTCCTAAATATACACCTATTTTAGTGGGTTTTTTTTTCTTACAGTCTTCATTTGCCTATAACGATAGTCGATGATGCATTGATTAAACATGCATTGTTATGATCGTGAGTATGTTGTATATTTTCGATAAAATGGATTATTTTTCATATTTTTAATGATTCTCTTAGTTAATCGTAATACTATTTCGAAGTAGCAGTCTACTTCGACTTTGCATGTACATAGAAAACCCCAAAACACACTAACTTCTTCTTACTAAAAAGAAAAGATGAAACTTTATTTGAATTCTAATTTATAAATGAAATGAAACTTACATATTATTACGTTAAAAAAAAAGATCAAAATTTTAAATTTAGTTCGAATTCTTAAATTGATACTAGACTCTTGTATTACGCTGACAGAAAAAAAAACCTATTCAAATTATAATTCTATACACATTTCATAGACTGTGCTTTGCTATGTGCACTACCTAAAATGCTAAATATATCATCTCTTAAGGTAAGACATCAAGTGGGACTACTAAGCTACCGAACACTTCTGGTGACAAAACATCAGTGGAAAAGCAAATAGTTGCATCTCCGAGGAGAATCTTGAAAATATAAGTATTATGACTAGATAATCTCACAAGAGTAATACTGAGAATATTCCTTAAAAACAAAAAGATTAATGATCAGAGTTTTGAGTTATAAGATAAATAAAAGAAAAATACAGCATTTATTGCTACACTATCAAGTTTTACTGTATCAAAAATATTACTCGGCAAGATATTATTAAAACTTTTTGCTGGAGGGGTATGAGAGCTTTTGTTTTCTTTGTCATAATTATATGAAAGTCCTTTTTTTTTCATTTGTTTTCTAAGTAATATCGTATAGTTGAAAGCATATATATTCATTCGAACTCGAATCAGGTATCTCATACTGTACCATAAATATATATTCCTCAACTATCATCTTCTATATTAGCAAGTTTGTTATTGCTTGTATAGTTGAATTAAGAAAAGAACGATATTCAATTGTTTTAAAAGTATTTTTGCTAATGCTCGCACTAGAACCAATGAAGACTGAATTTAAGTCCAATAACTAAACAAAAGTAGTAGATAACGACCTGCAAGTCTCAAGGATCTATCGAAGAGACTTTGAAATGTCTCCTCACCTGATATTATATCAGATAAAATTATTTTAAAGCCCATCATCTTCGTAAAATATTCAAAACAAAATGCATGAAAAAAGTGTTTCTTTTCAAGAACATTTTGATGAAAAAAAAAAAAAACTAGAAAATTTGCTTAAAGTCAGTAGAATATTTTATAATCTAACCGAATAAATACGTAATTAACTTTTCTCAACATTGAGACTTCAGAAACTAGTCAATAGAATCCTACCTCGGACTCTAGATCTGAATTCTTTTTATACGAAATACATGTCAAAACAAAACTGACATCGGAACGAAATATAATTTTCATGCATTCTTTTTTCAATATTTTGAAAAGAAGATGAATTTTAAAATAGATTCATCGTATATCGTATTAGAAAAAATACATCCAAAAATTTTTGCAATTGATCATTGAAATCGTCAGATCATTCGTTGTGCCTCAGTGATTTTTAGTAGCAATTATTACAAATTAATAGCGTGCGAAAGAAGTAAATCTTGTTGTTCTGAAACTTTAAAAATGTGATGCAAGAAAAAAAATAAGATTCATACATTCAAATTCACATCAACTTCCTTTATTATCGATCTCTGTCATATCAAAACGAGCTTATAAGGTATAATGTTTTTCTTTTATGTAAAATTTCAAATACAGCATCATATCTTATATACATAACTAGAAAGAGAAGAGAAAAGAATCAAAAAGCAGAAGATTGTAGTCTATGATTCATAGCTACGAAGGAAATATTAGAAAGAACAGGTTATGATGAAGACAGTGATCCGAGAATAACAAAGAAAATTTAATAAGAATGTATGAACATTTAGTTTAGTCAAGTAATAAAAGTAGATAATCATACACAAATGAAGTTCAATTGAGGACGCCATACTCAAGATTTTCATATTTGTCACACACTGTGTGATATCCTCTTCTGTTGATGATAGTTTGATCGAAAATATTGGTAATGTTTTGAAATACTGTCGAATGGCATTAGAAGACCTGTATATACTAAGTTCAGCTATTCAGAGTTCTTCTCCTTCATACATGTCATCAATTAAAACGGTCTAGTCTTATCGCTAGTACATTCATTTTTGCATGACATATTGAGTGTGTAACAATGAGTTCCGTTATGAACTGTTTCATGTCCATCTTTAAATCTGGAATTCTTAAGGGTACTATTACCCACACTCTTTATGGATCTCTCGTTAATGGTGAAGTAGATGAAATAGTTTGTAAGGTATATGACTCAAAGAAAGCTGCTGTTAAGATTCTTAATACTAATCGTAATGACATTCATATCAACGTTTTTTACAATTGTCGATACAATCAGTATCAGATGGCTTCCAACGAGGGGTTTTGTCTATCAATTGGCTACTCAAACACAAATAATCACGTATATAAGTTTTGTATTCTAATGCTGGCCATAGTAAATCTCGCAAAACTATATAAAAGTTCTTCTACGTGCTTCAGGTAAAGTAATGAACACGAAATTCTTTGAAATTCGATTTTTTGATGAAAGGATCTCATTCATTTGTAACTCTTAATATTTCTTCTTGTAAAGTCAATATTTGGAAATATTTCCATGTTATTGAGGATCAACTAAAAGAATATACTCTATGAGCTGCATGAACATGTAAGACATCATAGAAAAGATAGCTATTTTTAACATAAACGAATTCACATGCATACTGAATACTATTTATTTCGGTTCCTACATGCTGATGATGTCACATAGCCTGTAATCTTCTGTTCATTTTTGCCCTGATTCATATTATTTATTGTACTGAAATGTTTGAGAATGAGAGGCTAAGATTTACTCCTATGACATCTGTGTTTGACAAATGCACTGCTACTCATTCCATCACAAATACTAATCCTCACAATTTGATATGTTCTATGTCAACCAGATGAAAACATTGTAATGCATGATGGACACTCACTTTGTAACTTAATGGTTAGAGAGTTCGGCTAGAATTCGAATGTTTTCGATTTTGATTCTGTCCTACTTATTTGTTTCTTGTTACAGTATTCACTGTCTCTTCGTATGGTTTATTTTTCAGATTTTCTTCTCTGTTAATCTTTTTACTAGTATCAATCAACAACAACAACAGCAGCAATCATGGGCAACAAAGGTGCCAAGAAAGGAGTACCATCAGAACTGACACCTCGACGTTAGTTATTTATCTCTTTGATTAAAATTATTTTGATAATTCTCTATCTTAGAAATTGCAATGCTCAAAGCAACTACCAAATATACTGAACCGGGTAGGAAAACAAAAACCATTAATGTAATTTTGCTTTTCTATTTGCTTTTTTTATCTTAGAAATTCGACAGTGGCATGCTGTAATTTATTCTGTATATTTTTGTATTGGTAAATTCAATTTCGTTTCTAGAGTGTTCTTCAAGAGTCTCCAACGGGCAAACTCAACAAAAAACAATTTGTTGAAGCATACAAAAGGTTTTATCCGGGAGCAAAAGCAGATACTTACTGCCAGTAAGTCAATAAATTTATTTTCTATTACATATTGTCTTACTCTTTTATTTAAGGCTTGCCTTTTCCGTCTTTGATGCTAATAACGATGGAACAATTGATTTCAATGAATATCTTCTTGCTGTTGCTGCAGCATCTCAAGGTGATTTAGATGATCGACTTGATGTTGCATTCGATATGTAAGTTCAATAAAGTTAGATTACATATAATTTTTCTGTCTTTCAGTTGCGATACTTCAGATGATGGGCAAATCAATCAAAAAGAATTGGCTACGATGATTACGGCTGCTGTATGATATCTATATTTCTACTTTTAATTAGGAAAGATTTGTTTTTTTTTTGTTAAGTATGATCTACGAGGTGAAACTGATCGAAAAGGAGATCATGATCCTAAGAAGCGTGCTGCAGAAATCATCAGCAGACTGGATATTGGTGGAGATAAGAAATTGAGCAAGGCCGAGTTCATAACTGGGTATGTATATGATGACTTTATCAAACATCCACTAACTATATTCTTCTTTTAGATGCAAAAACGATCCAGTTCTCTGCCATTTATTGGCACCCAATGTTCATTGAAGACCTTTTAATTATTGATAGACCTAGTTTTTTTTGCTTTTTTTCTGCTTAGACGACACAACTGAAATTTTTCTTGAACTTTCTTAGTGCATTCCTTTTCTTTAATAATCAATAATCATCATTACGCTTAATTCTTGAACCGACAATGGGCACTATTTCCACTGCTGGATTACTTTCAGAAAGCATTCAGAATTTGTTTAAGCATGGTCCTAACATGGCGGAAAAAGTTGGACTTTACATATAATTCTGTTAGAATTTTCAGACAAGACATGATGTTTTATTCAGAGCAATGTCTACTATGCTAGAAAATAAATTATTGAACAAAACCGACTATTTGGATGTTTCAGAAATAAATATTATCGTATAATAATTCGTTGTTTCGGCGAAGATCAGACCGCTCTTTCGGTTCTTTGTCTTCCATATTGTATGCATATCGGCTTGAGCAAGCGTAACACGATGACGTTTTGGCCGCAGTTTTATTAATTTTTCTCAACACTCAGATTGCTCGGAGGATTTCGTCTTTCATTATAAGATGCATCTCTACCTTCTGCAAAATCCCTGAGAGTATGAGCTCACTTGAGCGAGTGATTTGAAAACTATAGCAAAAATACGTGGCGTAACGCGATGACGAGAAAAGGACAAAAAGTTGAGGGTGACATGGTTGTTTCTTATTTCTCTGCGAATGTATACTGTATTCAAAGAAACGTTCTATGCATGTTTTGTAGCCAACAGTTGGAGGTATCCAACAGAGCAAAAACTTCTTCAAACAGACTTCTTATTTTGAATAGGGATCACTTTGGTTAGCGTAACGCGATGATGATGACTTTTGCAACCATTTTTTTTCATGGTTCATTTTATTATGTGTACACCTCTGTGAAGACAAGATACTATTTTTATTTTACACTTAGAATGTACACGTGTGAGATATTGTGTTTATTGATTTCTCTAGTACAAAAAAAACCATAAAAACAATAAATCAGTTTGACTAATAGAGATACCCATATATTTATATATGGTTCGATAGAGCTCAAAAAACTATCTGAGAAAATGTATTTTTCAATTCATTTTCCTGTTTTATAAATATTAAAAATCTGAAAATACGAAAATCATTTTATACGAAATCATTCCAGTGACAGTATGATCTCGGTCTTTTAAGGTTTTTAAACCTTATAAAATAGGAATATTACTTTAAAAGTACATTTACTTACACATTTTTTTGAGCTCTACCCAACCATATATAAATCATGGAGAAAAAGTGTTAACTGAAATTTTGAGTGTTCCCCACCTGACGCATATATCATAGAAATGATAGATAATTTAGATTGATAAGCAAGAGCAATCGAATCACCCAAATTTGAAATTTCTTCAGATGATAACGAAATACATTGGGTTAATAAGTTTAAGTATCTCGGGTGTTGGATTTCACCGAGGGTGGGTGTGGATGAACAATAAACAACCACACCCACCCATGTCTTCCATCTCTATTTTCTTGTCCTTATTCTTTTCTCAATATCTCGAGAAAGAAAAAAGAAACAACATGGAGTTTTGACTGATTTTAAGAGTCGTGTGTGTGTTTGGTTGAAAGAAGACCAACACCTATATCTCACGCCCACACTCACGCACCCTCTCAACGAAAAGAAACAGTCAAGCAATGTTTGAGTCTTAATATTCTTTTTCAGGAAGTGTCAACGGTGAAACCTCATTTGTTCTCCTTTTGGCAACGTGGCTTATCATTATTTAAAGATAGAATTGCCGAGGAAAAAAATACACCACCTGAGTATTATTTCGTCTTGATTAAATCGATGATGCAGAGAAATCGAGCGGAATAATACAGTGATTATAGGATTGACGACATACGCAAATATATGGAACGAATAAAACAGAACTGCATATTCATAAAAGAAAAAGGAAGTGGATTATTATAATTTTCATCGATAGACTCATGTTTGTAAATATATTTGTGATTCATTTCTCTGCACGATGTATATTCATACCAATACCCTCACCCTGATCGTGACCATGACCAAAAAAGTGATCACACCGATGTCCAGTCAACACTGTTTTTATGCTGTATTTCACAAAAACAACAATAAGAGTTCCTATCATTTATGAGCATCAAATATTTTAATCAAAGAGTATAATATTAACTTATTAATCAGTAGAAAGCATGTTATTCGATCCTGATTCGCCATTTCAAGAGTCAGGCAAAATCGCTCAAATGTGCATCGTTTTTAATAGTTTTTGGATGAGATGTTGCATATTGTTACTTATACTACTATATCCCAAATTCAATATAGTCAGTATCTTCGAAAAAGGATACAGGGATGATTGGAAGAGAAACAGGTTGATATAAGTCAGTTACTTTCTTTTCTTGCAGGGCATTGGCCGGCTATTGTGTGAGTTGTTAATTGATTCGGTTACGTTCGAAGTTAAGTCTGTAGTTATTGTCTGTGAAAAATAGTAAGTAAATAGTTAGAAAGAAAGAAAAATACACAGTTATATGTTACGCTATTGTGTTGTGAAGTATGGGTCACATCTTCCACTACGTGTGGATCGATTTCGTTAGAGTTCAAATTCAGTCTAGTGAATGCCTGTAAAAAGTAATGAATAAATAATTGAAAGAAGAAAAAGAATGGTCAGACTTGTGTTAAGTTATTTTGTCGTAGAACATTGATCAGATGTTGAGCTGCTTTATTACAGATCTGGTTGGAGTTCAAGTTAAGTGTAGTGACAGTCTGTGAAAAAAAGTGAGAGAATAGTTGACTAAGAAGACTAGTGGTTAGAATCGTATTACGTTGTTGTGCTGTAAAGCATCGACCAAATGTTTGGCTCCTCGATCGCCGATTTTGTTTGAGGATAGGCTCAATATGATGAGTGTCTGTAAAAAATAGCGAATGAACAGTTGATTCTGAAAAACAATAACTAGGGGATTGTGTTACGTTGTTGTGTTCTAGAGCATTGGCCAGATATTGTGCTCCTTGATCATCGATGTCGTTTGAGTCTAACTTCAATGTAGTGAGTGTCTACAAAAAATAGTAAGAGTATAATTGAAGAAGAG